GTCGGGCTAATGCCGGGGGTTTACCATTAAACAAAGATTTGGGTCTCTCTTGGAAGCAATGATCACGATGGCTGTGGGCAATGAAATTTTTATGGCGTCATTGGTAGACCACATCCCCGGCATGCTAAAGGGAGTGGTTGGGAAGAGTCGAGGGTGCGTGAGCAAATTTAACTTCTCCCAGAAGTCTTGCAACTCCTTGGCTTAGCCTTTGCCCCGTGAACTTAGCGTGTAATGAGTTTCTTCAAAATGTCCCAAAGATACCTTTCCAATTTGAAGACTTCTGAGCAGGTATACTGTTTGTTCAGGGATGTCTGCAAGCAGGATGTTTTGCGTTGGTGACTGTGTCATTTTTCGTCTTCTCCAGAATGGCTACAACAAAATGGGCGCTATTTGTCACAACAACACTTGCGTGGGAATTAGCGCATGCTGTGGATGGGTATGTCTGCCTTTATTTGGTTCCGTGGGGTGACACAAAGTTTTCATTAAGGCTTATTCTAATTGCTTTCCACGAGAGATTCCGCGTGATACTACGTCAGCCATCAATGCTATGGCGAAACGAATTCACCGAAACAAAGGCCGCAAACATTCCTACAAACACTTCAAGGTAGGCTTTCGGAATTTGTTTCACAATATGCTTGCGCACTTCTGCACTGGATGAGTTTTTGCTGCTCAGTTCAAAGCTTGATAAAATTATTTTTGAAAAACATCCGCTAACGTAAGTGGTCCTCATTCAGACCTATGATTAGGATGAAAGGTTGAAGGGGGGGGGGTGAAAAATAGTAAGAAAAAGTCCTGGTAGACGTGTGACACTCTTAAGCAATATGAAGAGGAAAGGGATTGTTTTTGTTGGCACACGTGGATCCGAATGAGAAGTGTTACAGAGGATACCAAGATCGCAAGCTCCGGGCCGACCTATTCAATTCGTCAGTGCTGCCTGCCCTCAGCTACGCCGGAGAAACCTGGGCCTTAACAAAATCGCTGGAAAAGCGGCTTCAAGTCCGCTCAGGCATCAATTGAACGTCGTCTGATAGGCCTAACGCTGAGCCGTCAACGAGAACTGAGCCTGCACAATTCTGACGTCAGAGCTATGTCGAAGATTAAGGACGTTTTGGTTCACGTCAATGAAGCGAAGCACCGATTTGCTGGGCATTTGATCAGAAGAAATGATGGACGTTGGAGCTCGAAGACTGCTCAATGGTATCCGCGCGAGAAGAAACGGCCACTTGGCCGCCCTCCTTTACGTTGGGCAGACTCTTTGGCATACAGAAACAACGTGTATGATCCTGTGTCCCTTAAGGTGGCCGTACACTGGACAACGAAGCCCAAGACCGCGAGCAATGGAAAAGAAGTTGGGACCCGCGCAAGGCCAACCGCCGTGCTGATCAACGGGTCGTCTAAGTATCTAAGTAAGTGTGTGAATCCGAATCTGCTATACAAATCCTACCCAATACCAGCCCCTTTCACTATCACTTGGTTCACTATCACTGTTATCCGTCCGTTGGGCTAATTACAGGGCCATGTTTGCGACTTTTGTGGTGAGGCTGGTATTGGGGGGATCTGCAGAGCAGATTCGGAAGGCACATTGGAGAATTTCTAGGGGTTGAAGAAACCTTTCGCAAGTAATAAGGAAAACATCGGAAGAATTGCAGTTTTGACCGTTACGTGACATTTATACCCACCCTAGCCCTTCTCTTCCCACCCATCCCTCGACGAACTCCTTGAAGTGGAAGTGTGTCAGAGTAGGATCAGGTCTAATGCCAACACATATGTCACCAGCATGAGTTGGAAGGCCAAGAAGGGGAGGGAGGCAAAGACTTACTATGTCGGGGTTGGGTTGTGATTTCGGAATTGGTTCACTGCAACGGTTGATCTGGCAACTTCATAGGGCGGAAGTGGTGTAGTGGCAAGTGGCACGCTTACCACGCGAGCGGTCCGGGATCAAATCCTGGGTCGTGAGTCGCCCGGGCCAACCAAGCCTTCCATCCCTCCGGGGTCGGTTAATTGGTACCAGACTTGTCTGGGAGGATAAAAACACTGACTTGTACATCGGCTGGCCCCCGCAAGTCATTGTATAGGCCACATCGCATTCAAACGCCACTACGAATGTACAAATGGAAGTAGAATGCGTGCCGCATCCCAAAAGGGATTGATCAACGGCAAATGCTTTATCCTTTATCCTTTAACGGTTGATCCTGCCTGCTGTGCGGTACCTGCGCACCGATCGCTGGTCAAGCTGTTGCTTTGATTCAGTAAAGAAGTTCTTTACCGCACAAGCCCACGCCATTCCATCCAACAATGAGAGTATGCGGTAATGCCAAGATCGTCATGCTCAATTGTCATTCCACGGAAAAAGTGTTTATGCAAGCAGGACAAACAATTAGTTCTCGAGGAATTCAACAATTCATGCTACTGAGTGGGCGCGTTGTCACTAATCATTGACGTTGTTTAGGGTTCTCACGAGTGACAGAAGCCTGGAGATGACAGTTCGACTCGGTCGCGCCGTTCCAAATCGCTGAGGACGAAGCACATGATTTCCAATGGAAAAAGCGACTGCATCGACGCACACACCTCCTAACCTGGTAGACACTAGTGCATGTCTAGGCGTAATTTTACTGAGTTTATCTGGAATCTCAATCTCATTAGACATTTTATGTGAATCAAGGCAAGCCATTGTTTACTGCGGAAAACATTTTGCGACCTGTTTTCGCGCTTTTGCACTCAAAAAATGGAGTGCAGGCTCGAATCGGATCCCAATGAAGAGAATAACGGAATCCCATTGCCAACCTTGGCCTACCTCCCCATACCATTTACTGGAACTTCGCCAAAAACTCCGCCGAGTGAGAAATTGGGTTTTGGAATAGAATGGACCGTAAAGAACACATAATCAAAGGACCATCAAAGCTATGTTGCAACAGTTATGTGGTTTTCAAAGTTGTGTTGTGGGCTATTCCATATAGCATAGAAGCGTCCACCCAGAAATTCTCATGTTGTACCGGGCCCAATATGTATAATACTAACAACTTCCTTCACGTGCTCTGTAGTGTTCGTGTCCAACCGGTTGAAGAATAAATTTCACATGTAGAATTTCGGTCAGATCTTCAACGCAAAGAAAATATGTCTGTTCTACGTATGGTTTATATAAAACCTTAAAAACTTAGCTTTGCTGTTTGCAAGTGCCACCAGATTGCAAGATCTCATCAATTGCTGATCAGCAAACTTCACAAGAATGCATTTAAAGATCTTTATTTGGAAACAAATGAAAGAACAGCGCGTCCCCGGAGCGATTCTTCAAGATTTAGAGCCGAAATCACTTCAGCCAAGCGGTTATCATATAAACGTTTGGAGTCAGGTGTTTCGGCAACTTCGTACGGCACGCATATCAGTACGGAGTTGATCTAGAAAGCAGTACTTAAGAAACTTGGAAAAAAAGAAAAGCTACATATGAAAATTGCTCAGAATTGATGGGGAAGGAGGTCTCGGAGGTTTAGGTTTTCCACTAATTCGTGGAACACGCAATTACTCATTCCCCGTACTACACGCACATACGACACTAAGGATCATATTGGTCTTCCACGTCATAGTGATAATTCCTTTAACACGTTGACGACATTGTGCAGCGCATGCGCATCACACCTTGAGCACCGTGTGGGACCGTGTGCAGCGCATGCGCTGCACACACAAAATATTTATTTTTTCGCGCATGCGCTACTTCTTTTCTAATTTTTTGCATCTATTCCATAGACTACACCATAATATGACTAGACACGGCGAGGTTCATTGAATGGTTGAATATGCTCCTTTTTAGCGAAGGTTTTCTAAGCCCTACGAATTTCCCAATTGTGTTCATTCCTAGTTTCCTTTATATTCTGATAATCTTGGTCATAAAAAAGAGCAGTAGAAGTAAGTACAGACCCACACATATAGCAAGACATATGTTTTTAGTGGAGCAACCGCGTCAAAAATAATTTTGAGGTTCACTGCAGCAAAAGCAACTGAAACTTGCCTTTCGCCAGAAAACGTCAATTCGATCGATTTTTTACAGTTGTCCCTTCTGATAAGTTTGACACATCGAATATCATTCTAAACATTTTGTTGCATCCGAGTTTTGGGTATTTAAAGCTCAAAATTCACGGATTTGATGTGAGGCGGCGGCGCCTGCAAAATCGCCGTGGTCCCACGCGGTGCAAAAACCCAAAACGCGCGATGTCGTCAACGTGTTAAAAATGAAATTCACCCGCCTAGACG